GTTCATAGCACTCGCCCGTATAAGCATCAGTCACGCCTGGAGTCATATATTACATATTCAGGGGAATTATTCAGTTAAAATCGAAATAAATAGGTACTAAGACAATCATATCTGCTCAAAAGTCCAAAGTGGTCCACAGCGACAGATCCAGAAGACTACAAGTACTACAAAGCACACTCGAGGGCCTCCAACAGCGATCGCTGATTGCAATTCGATAATGAAGTGAGTATATAAAAGTGGAAAAGGATTTCAGAGTTCGAATCCTAGGTTGTTTTTCATTCTGTATGCTCTGCAGTGGATGGAATTTAATAATTGAAAGTTAATTTAACCGTAAAGCCACGTTACACAAAAAAGTGTGGAAAGGAGGAAGGAAAAAAGATGCAGATAAAATGTAATCCTTGAACGAATAACGAATGAAAATTAGATAAATATAAAAATTACACAAAATTGTAATAGATTTGTCTCAAGTATAATTTTATTGTTTGCTTCTCTTCGAGTATGAGCGCAAAATGAAAAGAATTGTATAAAAGCGCTTTCTGTAGGTTAGTTCTCATCAGTTCATGCACACACACACACACACACACACACAAAAAAAAAAAAAAAAAAAAAAAAAAAAACTTTTCTCTTTATTGTTTAGATACTTTACACAGCTGAAAAGTATATCAGTTGTCAATCTATTTCTCCTTTTGGAAGAGGAGGAAAGGGCAAACAAAGCAGCTTTTACCGGAAGGGAAAGCTGCTTTGTTTCAGAAAGCTTGTTTGGGAAAGCTTACCCATGCAGGTAAGAATGAAAGGAGGGGCCCAACCTAGTACCTCCTACATAGTCCTATATGTAAAAAAAGGAGGTACTCATACTCCTACATGTAGGAGGTACTGCCCAACCCCGCACTATGAGTGATACTTTGACACTTGTTAGTTATGCTGGCCTCAGCGCGATAATGACGAGTGAAGCACTTCTCCCAGGCTTTGTCTTGGTAATTTTTTGTGCATCCAGAGCTTCCTTTACAGCGCTTTCATAGTATTTCCATACACGACAGTTCCATGCAAATCGAAAAGCGGGACACTTCAGCATTAGAAAAAACATTCATTGTTGAATGAATAATAGAAATGTCTATAGTTTAGTGACATTTTCCTCAAAAATCACATCTTGGTTATTTTTCGATAACTTGCAACAGCAATTTTGCGGTAACTTTGAAATTGTACACGTCTTTCGATACCCTTGATTCGCTACTTTTATTTTATGTTACAAACACCAAAATGTTTTAAATAAAATACATGTTTTGTCATCCACATGTTATCATTTTATTTTTATATAACTGAAAAACAATCACTTTGGATTAACTAAAAAATAAAGTTCTGTCTCTCTTTCTTAAAATTTTATTTAGCAACTTGTTTAATTGATGACTAAATGTAATACAAATTTATGAATGAAAGATCTTTGTTAATTAATGCATATTCTTGAGTAGTGGTCTGTTATTTCTGAAAGAGTTTCAAGACAATGAAATAAGCAACATCAATGTTATTAATCGATATATAAACATATATACTTTGCATATTGTTACCTTCTGGATTACCTCGCAGTATGAAAATTTGAGGTATTTGTGAATTTCGATGAATTAAATGTTTTAACTGTTTAAAAAAAATGAAACAATATTATGTAGAGTAAGTTAATCAATATTGCTATCTGATGACATTGAGGTTAATTTTTAAATGTGAAATTTATAGTTATTATTTATTATACTATCAGAGAAATATTAAACTGGGTAAAATCGCTAAAAGAGGTATTGAATGCTCTGCCAAAATATATTTACTAGAAAATTTGAATTTGATAATGAATGTATCCTGAAATGTCTTTTAAGTCAAAAGTTTGAAACTTGATGGTTAGATGTAAATATATAAAATTATGCATGTTAAATTATTTGTAATCAATGTAAATGAGCTTACAAAGATCTTTCCGAACATTCTGCGTTTATACAGTAAACGAATTAAAACGTGTCGTCTTTCCAGATTTTGTGAGAAAGCTCTTTGGTGAATTCGAAATAGGTATTCAGTCTGCTTTCCACAGACTGATAATTTTTACAAGAGAAATGAGGCAAAATTTTCAAAACAATTGGTTTTATTTCGGTTTCCTATTATAAAAATAAATATTCATTCGAGAATCAAACTCAGGACATAAATAGGAATTTTCAGTAAACTTACTTTCTCAACAACTAAGTTATTATGTTTCTAGGGACACATAAAGTAAAGTGTTTGAGCAAGAGATGCATAAAACGTTTAATTTTAATTTGTAATACGTTTTCAATATCCGTGAAATGATTCATAAACCTGCATAACTTTAATACAATAAAACCAACAACTGCAAGAAACTGACATCATTAAAAGTAGATTTTTATTAAAAAAATCATATTAGTGATTTTGTTTCACTAAAAGGAAGATTAATTAAACTACAGTTACACGATAATTAAACTACAATTACAAGATGCTTGAAAACAGTTATAATAATTTTTTAGTATACTGGTGTTATTTTAATTTTATATAACTATTTGGTGTATTATTTTGTTTCCATATTTCTCGTTATTGCTATCGAATAATGAATAGACACACTTTTTAATTATAAATCAAAGAAGTAACTTTATCAGGTTCAATGTTTCTTCTAACCTTCTTCGGAAACATACAATGACCTGACTAGGAACAGAGAGCTTACTAAAGCTATGTTCACTAATTGTAGTAAGTAGACAGGATACAGACGAAGGGTATACAAGACCCTTTATTTTTCTTTATATACAATGACTTCCGTACTTCGGAATACAATGACCCTCCACTCGGGGTCTAACGTAAAAGGTATAAAAATAAAACTAAACTCTAATTTAACTTTAGAATAAGATTGGCCTTATAATAACAGGAAGCGTATGTAGCACAGAGACAATACGTTTAATTTATCAAGAGGATTAAAACCTCTGGCCTGGAAGGCAAATAGCAACTGCGTAACTTCTAAGGTTAGCGGCCTGCTTCGAACTCACTGCTTCCTCTCTCCGTCTTGGCAAAAAGGCCACACTTAAATACTTGGCGTTCGCCAGACAACTTTGCATAAAATCCTTCACGCTTATAATTCTGGCCGGAAGTAGAAAATAAGAAGTGATAGTAAAGATTTAAAATAAAATAAACGTTAGTAAAACTTAAGATCCTTACAACTTGGCACGATTCTGGTACTTTAATTTGAAATGAACTTTACAAATTAAAAGAGAAATCGTAGTAAGTTATCTGCAGTTCTCAGTTTTGACAATATGTCATTTGGAGCGTTTAATTTTGTTCGTATATTTAATCTGTTCAACTTCTGCATTTCAGTTAAACCAAAGCCAAAAATCATTCCTAATATTAAACTGAAAATTAAATTGATCAATATAAGTGATTCTTTACAGTTTAATATAATACGTATAGCATTGGTTCATTATAAACAGCTTATCCTTTTTCAGATTGTTGCCAACAAATATTATCGCCTTGTATTATTTTTAAAAGGAATTAAAGAATGAAGATTTCTCATTTTATATTTGGGAATGAGAATTTAATGGCTTAAGTTAATTAGGTACCGTCTGTCGTTTTTTCAAAATGCGAGAAACACACATTCATGTATGAATGTGTGCTAACTTAAGCCATTAAATTCTGAATAACGTAGTCCTCCACCTGTATATATGCACCTGGAAGCCCGAATTTTGAATTTACAACTTGTCTTATTATTTTATTTCATATTTGTTTTAATTTAATCATTTTTTGATTAATAAATTTAAGGATATAAAAGGGAGCAGTGGTAATACTGTTCGAAATAAAACATATTTATCTCAAATCATAAGACTGTTGCCAATCGGAAAAATGTAAGATATTTATTTATCTTTTAATTTTACTTAACAAACTCGACTCTATGAAAGCAATGTGTTACCGCTGCTGCATGAGAGGATAGTTTTGAAAGAAATGATATAACGAATACCACCTCACTCACTAGATTAAAACCTGTTAGAACTCATTTGGAGAGAATTACGAAGACACAATATAAAAACGAAAATCGAATTAATAACAGGATTGATGGAAGAATGGAGGAACATTGATGCAGATATCACAAACACAGAAAAAAGGAAAAAAAAAAAAAAAAAAAAAAAGGTGAACTCTATGCTTACATTTGAAAGCTGTCATAAATGCTGCTAGGTGTACTAAAAAGTACTAACAGAAATACTACAATATGAATAATGGGTGCAGATTTATTTAAAGTGTACAAAGACTTTGTGAGGTAACGTTTCTGTTACTTTTTTTGGACTACTGATTTAAAAAAAAAAAAAAAAAAAAAAAAAAAACTTTTACTATGTTCATAAAGTAACTAATGTATTTTTGCTAAAAGAAACTCATAAATATTATCAAAAAATTCTCATTCCCAAATATTAATTTTTGTTAATGAATAAAGCAATAATTGACTGAAACTCGCAAGTGTATGAACAGTTTTGGGAGCAACCTTACATGCATATTTAGGTACTCATAGAAATAGAAAAACGTAAGAATTTATTTTTTGCATATTATAATTGTGTAACTGTAAAGTACAATTTAATACAGATTAAAGAAAGAAAAATCAATGCAACTGGTAGCAAATTAAATTCGCTGAAAGTTAAAAAGGTAATTTTTATATAAATTTAAAAATTAAGCTACAGAAATTTCAGAAATAGCATGAAGAATTTTTGAAAACTGAAACAAAGTTTATAACTATTTTAAAATCCATTTTTTTATTAGAAATCACGCTACAATGTCAATTAGGAAATACTATATTTAATAATAAGAAGAACAGAACAATTTAAATTTTATTTTAAAAACGATTTTTTTAAAAATTTTTATAAGTGGCATCTTTTATGATCGTCTGCTCACGATAGAATTTCCATCTAATTACAAAGTAAAGCTTAGAATTAAAAGTAATTTTTATAAGTTCAATAAAATTAACTTTTATAATTATCTTTCAAATTACACGTAGGATTTCTTTGGAAAATTTCACACAAAATTTCCAACATTTCCTTTCATATTAAATTTCTTTTTTTTTTTTCAGATCTTTATTCTAAACATCATGCATCGTATTGATATAACAGTGCATCCTGGGACACAAATTTTCCATTATGTTTGCCCTGTCACATTCGCTGTAATTAATGGCGATAAAACAGGATTGGAATGTTTACTACGCTATGGTTACCAAGTTAATGATTACAGAAGCGAACTTTTTAACAAATATATTTGCAAATCGTAAGTAAATTTTTCATATTCATTTTACTTCCTTTAAATATATTCTAAAATACAGTTATTATTTTTAACTGAATTTTTAAATACACATTACAGAGAGGAATAAGTATGCGCATATTTTTCTAGTTTTAATTTGTCCCGAAGAAATTATATTATGTCTTTGAATTTAACTATTAAGATATTACCATCCGTATGTAGCTGTTAAACACCTTTTTAAAAGTCATCTTCATTTAATTTACAGAATCTCAGTGATCAATAAATTAATACATACTCTGTTGGACCGTAAAAAATGGTTACAGGCGAAAATATCGCGGCAAAAACGACGAAAATGTTGCGGAGAAAACAACGCAAGGCAAAAACTTCGTGCTACGAAACATCGTTGGAGAAAACATCAGAGTTCTGAAACATCGTGGTACAAAATATCGTGTCGTCGAAAATAAAGGGGTTCGAAAACTTTGCAGTTTAAAAACATCGTCGTCGAAAATATCGTGGTAAAAAATAAGATATCTACAAGTCATTCGCATGATGATAACATCGCAGACATGCTTTTTCCAGGCTTTAATAATTGTAAATTGATATTCCCATAAAAGCGCAAGATGAAAAGAGAGATGGAAGAAGCGCAAGATGGAAAGAAGGATAATTTTTACTTTCATATTTTTTATTAACTAATAAATTTTTGCTGGTAAAGTAACAAGGAAACTTAAGCATAGAAAATTATTGCAACTTATAGCACTTAATAGAATTTTAAACCGACATAGTTAACTAAAAAAGATCATTAATAAATCATTTTTTATAAAGTTTTTAATGGTAATTTTTCATGAAATGTATAATCTAAAAACGATTAGAAAAAAGATGATAAGTAACTGCATGACCTTTATCAATAAAAAATTTGCTAACTTATTTATGAGATTACTTTCTCTACTTTTGTTAATCTAATACTCTTATAGTGAAAATTATTTCTTGTTTTGTATCAGTTTATTCTTAAAGTGTTATTAAAATTTTCATGCACAGTTACTTGAATTTCATGCAGTCAGTTACTTGAATGTCAAAAGTCAGCTATATAGTATTTCAGTAGGGTTTGGATTTATTAGATTATGCCTCCTTTGTGGAGTACATTCTTAGAAAATTGGTTCATATGCACAATACACTTTAGGAAAATCACGAAAATCTTCAAGCAGAGTTTTCTTTGTTTTTGATATTTAGAAATAATGTATACTTGCAGTGAACCTTCTTGGTGACTATCTCCCTAAGACAGTGTTTTTGAGATCAATAAACTTAGGTTTTGATCATTACACAAGTTCCCCACATCCAGATAAGATTAAAAAAATACGGAATTTTGAGTGGTCGCTTTAAATTGGATTGCTTGCATTTACTTTTAGACTTAGACATTTCTTATTAGCATTTTAAAAGTATTACTTAATTTTTCATATACATTTTATTTGATAATTTCGTAGTTACTTATTGAACTTACAGTGACCAACTTCCCAAGACAATTTTAATGTTTTTCTTCGGTGTTTCTTAATTTTCAGAATATCTTAATTTTTGCGCTCTAGAAATCTGTAGCGAAATTTAAATTAATATTTCTGAGTGAGATTCTATTTTGCGGCTATTCTTTGTCCTCTGAATTCTCTGCCTAGCAACTCTGAAGCGACTAATTTTTCTTGTAAATTTTTAATTAAAAATAAAATTTAAATTTAATGAAATAAAAACTTAATTGAATTTCCCTTATATAATTTTCAAGGATAAAATCTACACATATTTTACAATGACATTTATTTTCAGTGCCTGAAACGCTTCAAGTATAATTTTTTTTGTATTTAAATGACAAACTGTTAGGAATAAGAATATGTAATATTTTTATGTATCATTTTAAATGCTTTAGAAACATATGATTTTGAATATTAATCATAACTAAATTTTAAAATCCGGGTCCGCTTCGTTACATGATTATTTTTTAATTAAAGTAACCAGAAATAATATTTTTGCAGTAAAAGGAAAATATTTAGTGCTTCTACGCATAAAACTATTGGAAAAAGATATCTTGAAGGAAGGCATATTAATTTCCATAGTTTATGTTTTAAATCAAACAAAAGTATCTTTTCGTTTTAATAATTTTATAAATCTTATATTTTTTTTTTCATCTGTAATTAACTGCAGTTTTAGTTTCACTGTTCAAATTAATAAACAAAGATATACTGTGAATTAGGTAAATCAATGATAGGTGTATGTAGGAGGTACTGCCTATGGAGGGACGATCAGTTGCAACCCTGCCTCCTCCGAGATTCGAACGCGGAACCTTGGTGTCGCAGCCCGGCTTCCCAAACCACTATACCGTCTAGGCGGCTTAAATCTAAAAGTAAATGTAAGCAATCCAATTTAAAGCGACCACTCTAAATTCCATATCTTTTTAATCTTGTGTGGATAAGGTGAACTTGCTTAATGATCAAAGCACATGCTTATTGATCTCAAAAACACTGTTTGTCTTAGGGAGATAGTAATCAAGAAGGTTCACGGCAAGTATACGTTATTTCTAAAAAACAAAAACAAAAAAATCTGCTTGAAGATTTTCGTGATTTTTCTAAAGTGTAATGTGCGCATATGAACCAGTTCCTGAGAATGTACTCCACTAAGGAATCCCACCTCTTAAGTAAATAGCCGTAGTGTGCTTTGGCATAATCTAATAAATCCAAACCCTACGAAATACTATATGGCTGACTTTCGACATTCAAGTAACTAACTGCACGCTGTGCATGAAAATTTTAATAACACTTTAAGGATAAACTGACACAAAACAAGAAGTAATTTTCACTATAAGAGTATTATATTAACAAAAATGAAGAAAATAATCCCATAATTAAGTTAGCAATTTTTTATAGATAAGGTCATGCAGTTACTTACCTTCTTTTTTCTAATCTTTTTTAGATCATACTTTTCATGAATAATTTACCAGTAAAACTTTACAAAAAATAATTTATAAGTGAACTTTGTCAATTTATTAATGAACCTTTGTTAGTTTAACTATGTCGGTTTTTAAAATTAAGTGCTATAAGTTGCATTAATTTTCTATGATTAAGTGTCCATTTTACCTTTTCAGTAAATATTTATTAGTTAATAAAAGTAAAAATTATCCTTCTTTCCATCTTGCGCTCACAAATCAATGTGCGAGTATTTTTTCACAATTATTAAAGCCTGAAAAACGCATGTCTGCGATGTATCGTCATACGATGATTTGTAGGTACTCAATTTTTACAACGATACTGTTGCCTTTTTTTCTGACACCAGTTGTTACGTTATTTTCGACGAAGATGTTTTGTACAACGATGTTTTAGAACTGCGATGTTTTCTCTTTGCGATATTTTCTCCCACAATGTTTTGTAGCACGACGTTTTTGCCCTGGGTTTGTTTCTCGTTTCTTCACATTTTCGTCCGCGATGTTTTTCCTTCGATGTTATGGGCGGACACTTAAAAAATAACTGCCGTAACAATAACTGCACTCATACAACATAGTCTGATAAATTCGAAATTTTGCATGGACATTTTTCTCAAATATAAAAATGTTCAAAGTTTCGTAAACAATGAATGGTAACTCTGATCATAGGGCCTATTTCTCTGAGAATTCTAGTAAAGACTAGACAGTACGTTGTGAAATAAGGGGCCACTGGCTATGAAGACGGCCGATGAAAGGTAATGGTTGCTGCAAAATACTATGAACAGCTGTTTCGCCAACAAGCCTGAATTGGTACATCATTATTTTCCGTTAAACCGCAAGCTGTAACTCCTTCTATACGATCTGCAGAATCTTCCATCATTTCAAGATTCATTATTGAATCAGGGTTACCCTCAAGCTGCCCTTTAAGACATGTGCCTTTGCCACCTTAACACTGACAACTTCGTTTGGAATGGTAGCGAACTCGAGCATCATGGTTAGTCAATGACTGGCATCTCGCTGTCTTCAGTGACAATTCTAATTTCAATATCGAGGCAGATAACCATTGCATATACGTATAGAGGAGATCGAGTCAATTCTTCTAAAAAGACATTATTATGTGGAGGCTTACAGCTAAATACTTTTCGTATGATGATATGGATATGTCTTATGGTATCAAGTTGCTCATTGTGGTCAAGCGTACAACTATAATTACACAGTGATATGTCGATAACATATTGCGACCAGTTGTGCGATCCATCATGGACTATCATTCTAAGGTAGTTTTGCAACAAGATAATGAGGTTCGTATATTCGCTGTTTCAACTCTTGTTTGAACGGCAAGATCTCCAGTTTTTTGCCAGCTGAATACGTATAGAACATGCTAGGCTGTTAAGTAGTAAGAGGCACAGTACGTCGGAAATCTGGCATAACAATTGAGAAACATTTGGTCAAATCTCTTGCAGAATGGCATTACGAATATGTATCATTCTTTACCTCTGGTTATAGTTGCACGCACTGCAGCTAGGGAAGAAGTCCGCCGAAAACATGGCGGACAAAAACGTTGCGCAGAAAGAAGGCAAGGGAGAAAACGTCGTGGTACAAAACATCATAGGAGAAAAGTAGGCAAAGAGAAAACATCACAGTTCTAAAACAACGTGGTACAAAATATCGTGGTCTAAAATAAAGCAGTTCAAAAATTTCGCGGTTTAAAAACATGGTCGTCAAAAATATCGTGGTAAAAAATAAAGTACCTACAAATCATCACATGACGATAACATCGTATGCATGCGTTTTCAGGTTTTGAAAGTTGTAAATGCATGCTCGTATAAAGATCATAGAGAGTAAGAAGAAAAGAGGGATTCTTTTACTTCTGTATTTCATACATTTAAACGAACTAATAAATTTTTGCTGAAAACATAAGAGGGAAACTTTCTATAAAAAGGAAATTATTTAAAAAATGAAAATGAGTAGAAAATGAATGCAACTTAAAAAGCTTAGTACAATTTTATTTATATAGTTAATTAACAAAGGCCATTAATAAATCAAGCTTTTTTTATGAAGTTCAATTGATAAT